TAAGTGCCACGTCCAGTCTTTCCTTAAACACCTCTAGGGATAGTGACTCTACCACTTCCCCAGGCATTAGACTCCATCTGTAATCACCCTTTCTATGAAGAAATCCTTCCTGATATGCACCTAAACCTGCCCTGGCACAGCTGAAGACAATGTCCTCTTGTCCTATTGCTAGTTGCCTGGGAGAAGAGGCTACAATGTCCTTTCAGGTAGTTGCAGAGAGTGAGGAGGTCTCCCCTGAGCCTTCTCTTCTCCAGGCTAAACAACCCCAGCTCCCTCAGCCGCTCCTCATAGGACAAGGAAGAGTCCATTTCTTTGAAATTCTACTTCAACTCTGTTGGCAAGCCTGGTCCAGGCTTTCTGTAATCTTACCTCCAGCAAAATAAGACATTCAAGCCCACCAGATATTTGTATCCCCCATAACAAACTGTGGCTGAGCTGGTCAGGAGCACACCATTGGGTAAAGAATCTCTCAATACGCAGTTGATGTTAACTCCTAATTTTATAGTTCAATTGTTTGTCAAATGTTCTTAGGTCATGGTGTGGTTTAGTTAGTTAGGATTGGAGCAGGGAAGTAAGGCCCCTAGAAATAATTAGCCATAGGAATCTAATGATGACCATGCCGTCAAAGGTAAATAAGGTTTCTGACTGGCTGAACGAGTTTTACATCCTACTTAACAATCTGTTCAGTAGCTCCAGGCCTTGGCTCTCAGGTGGAACACTGAGTGTTCTGACCTGGAATTTCCTATGCTCCAGCCAACAGTCAGCCAAGAGCCCATCCACGCACTGGTGTGAGGTGATAGACAAGCTCATCCATCGTGCTGTGGGAGCAGGTTCCAGAAAGTGGTTATTTGTGAAATACTCAATACAACTCATAGAAATGCTGCCAAAACATCAGTACCAACTATGAAATTGCCACATGTATGCATCCTTAGTTATGGATGTTCCTGCTAGAACATTACCCAGGACGTAGATACATACAGGAGTATAGCCCGGCTTATTTGGGAATGCATATTCACATGTAGAGGTGATCTGGGTAACCACTTTACTACAAAGGAAAGAATTTGGCTCTTTGTGATTGGGTTCTTTTGGCTGTCTTCCAAATTGCCTGAGAAGTAAGTTCTTTCTGCTTATCTGTTTTGACAAAACCTGAGTAACCAAACTTATTTCAGACTGCTGGTTATAAAGACAGCCACACATGCAGCTCTACAAATATTTATATCAAGGGTAAATTTCTCTGAATGAAATAAGAGATCTATAATCTTAATAAAGCAACAAAGATGAGTACAGGTACATAAGGTAAATCAAGGCCTCTACACTAAGCAGTTCTTCATCTGGATCTCTTCCATAGAAAATTTCTAATCCTCAAGGTTTATAGAAACAGTCACACTTCAGTAATCTTTGCAAACAGTTGTGCTGGACCTCAGAAGTACTGGGTCATATTGAGTCTTTTCTAGGCTGGGCTGAATTTGCTACAAATTACATTGGTCATGCCAGCAGTGTAGCTGCAGCAGTGTGAGCACACCTACGCAGTGTGCTGGCCTCCGTGCTACTTATGTGAGTATAGTGAGTGTTCTAACAATTATTTTCTGTGTTTTATAGATATGACTGCAGTGCCTGGCTATATAAAGGCCACCTCTAACACAAAGGAACTAACATCCGTTCAGCTGATGGAAACTCTCCTGTAGTAATGGTATCATTCAGCAGCCTCAGGGCTCCTCTCTGGTGTTACTTTGTGATTAGTAGATTGTCTGTAGGTTAATCAGTGTCTGGAAGTACTTCCATAATTTTCATACAAGCTGAAGAAGAGATAAAAGGGAAATTATTAAGATATAGTGAGGGTTTCACCAAATAGATGAGACAGCAGCAAAATAAACAGACTGCAGCACAATGCACATTTCTGACATTCCTGATGGGCATTTTTAAGTTAGGCATCCTGCAGTCAGCATGAGATACTCAGGAAAAAGCTTACCCCTCGAGTGCAGCTGAATCCATTGCCCACTGGAAGAGCTCTGGATCAAAGAACCGTGCCTAGAATCACAATCATTTTGCTTCAGCACATCTATGCCTTTATCTCTAAAATGAAATTCCTAAAAACAGATGTCAAGATTGCAGTAAATTATGATCAGAAGTGCAACATCTCTGAAGCTGTGACCTCATGCTGTGCTAATTGTTAAGGTCATGCAATGATCAGCATGGGGTTTTTCTACGTAAACAACTGTCAAGTAACATCTCCATCACTGTTCTTCTATTTTCTTCACTTTGCAAGAAAAAAAAAGTATCATGAATGGGCTGCATTGCACACACTGCAGGAAAAAAATCACAGGTGCTGCCTGAACAGACATTAATTTTGTTATTTGTGTAAGGGAATGAAAGACGAATTCATTTTAAAGCACAGAGTAAGGTTTGTTTCCCAGGCCAGCCACATACCTCCTGTGTGAGCTGGAAAGTATGAAGGGCTTGGGAGCTGCTGATAAAATTTTGTGATTATCACGTCTCTGTTGGTCTGTTGTTACACTGATAGCTGTAAGACAGCAATAAATTAATTCAAGCAGTGGACAGCAGTTTTTTCTCACAAAAGATGTTACCAGGTTCAGCTGATTCAATTACCAGTAATTGAAAAGGCAGCACAAAAAAAACCCCACTTGCTCTGAGAATCTGGACAAGATTCAAGCAGAAAAAATTGGAAAAACAGCTTTAGGGGCTGGTTACACAAGAGTCATGGAAGCATCTGAGCCTCTGGTTGAGAGATCTGTATGTAGGCCCTGAAATAACTGTACTGCAGCTCAATAGAGAATCACTGTTGAGTATCTAATACACGTCATAGGTCTGCCATTTTGGGCATTGCTGCTTCGTATTTTCGTCAGTGACCTTAAAGAAAATGTAACGTAAGTAGTGATAGACAGCAGCTAGGATTGCTCTTTTAGCTGACCAAGTGAAATAAAGAGTGTATTAACTGTAAATATACAAATAAAATGGGTACTAACATGTAAACATATGCTCACACCTATGCAGAAAGGAACAGAAGCTAAACTCATGAGGAGTTTACACTGGAAAACGAGGTGTTTTTCAATCTGCTGGTTGATCTAACTTTCTTGCGCAGTCACATTCTCAAGGAACAAGGCCTTCATTTCTATTTCATTAAAAAAAGAGAACAGGTACTATAGGGAAGTTTATTACTTGTGCTTTTAACCCATTTGTGTCACAACAGAAATACTCTCATGCTCCGTTTCTTGTGTCTGTAATTTAAGAAGGATCTACTGAAGTGTTCACATAGGAAAGGGCTTCTTAGTGCTTACACAGACCAATACAATGCATAGCTTTTATAAAAGATTACAGGAAGTATTTCATATCAACCCCTTTCTCATGTCTTTTAATTTGAAATTTAACTCTGCCTTTTGATATCAGTGTCTATGTTCAGTGTGAGGCAAAATTTTCTCTACCATGACTCTTAGCTCTGCAGTACAAAAAATCACCAGAGATGTCTGCAAACACTTTTACTTTTCCACACAATTGGTTTCTCATATTGTGAAGTTTGTTTAGTACTGTTACTATTTACAGATTCATATCAATTAAAAAAATATACAGGAGTGTTACTAAAGTGAACTCAGAGGAAAAGCCACAACTCTTCCCATTAGGATGAAATCAATTCATTGCCACAGTGAATGAAATCTGATGGGTTTGCCTCTGTGTAATATGATGACTAATATACAAAACCTGCATCTGCATACATCTACCAGGATGGACTATAACTAGGACTAAACATCTGAAATTAATACAGCCAAGTGCTATCCCATGTTTAATCCAATTAAAGGGACTGATGCACATCATTTGGAATGAACATGAGGTAATTTAATGAATCACAACAGGTCTCATGAGCATTTTTGTTGATAATTAGGGCCATAAAGCTACAGGGAATTATTTCAATCACCCACTGCCCCTCACAAAATAACACACAATTTAATAACAAAGCAAACCACAATGCAATAATTGCAGTGCAATACAAAATTAGCTTAACAGCTAAGAGATGCACCTGAGATTCAGACATGTGTAGAGTTCCCAATTAAGTTAGCTTACCAACTAACTAGTATTCTTAATTTGCTAGTCAAAAATGTGCCCTCATCCACATCTGTTGTTCCACCTTCTGATTCAAAAGCAACTTGACTTGAAACTGAGATATTTAAAGTGTGTCAAAAGACTGGTAAGAACTTTAGCTCAGCCTTAGGAGTGCACGCAACAGAATCTATTGCAATGAATTGAACTGCAGAAGTCACATTCACAACCAAAACAGTGTCACTTAAAAGGATCCTGGCTAGTTTAAAACAGTTTTGCTGCACTGATTTAGCTTAACTAATAAATCTGTGTTTAGAAAAGGCATACATCAAAACAGTGAGAAAGAGGACGCTGTTGTTCAAGAGACCCACCTGAGATCCAGGTGTGTGTATAGTTCCCAGTTCTCATACCCAGAAGATCTGACAAGAGTTTTCAATTCTGTAACCACTTGTAAAATTCATTTCCAAACCCAGGAGCAATCTTGCAGTATTTGGCTGGCAGCAGACTGAGTGTCAAAGCTGGTAGTTGAAAAGATATGTATGACTGATGTAAATGATAAAAAGTATACAGATAGGCAGACAAGTAGATTCAGGGAGTACCAGTGTGCCCACAGTTCACTATGTATAGTAAATAGGTGGAAAAATCCAAACAACAAAAAGGAAGTAAGTCATTAAAGCTCACCTAAGAAATACACGGGCATACTCAATAATAATTAACTCATTCTCCTAGCTAATCATCCATATTTCTTATTAAGGTTATTTGCACTGGGCTGTGAATTGCCACCAGGACTGAAGCCCAGAACAGATGCACCAAGACAGGAAAATCCTTAGGAAAATGCTTATTGGTTAGGCACATAAATAGTTCTATTGAAGACAACAGTTTTGTTCAATCATACGTTTGCTTTTACTGAACACGGGGTGAAATCCTAATTCCTCGTCTGAAGGCAAAGTCTGACCATCTAATTCAATTGTGCCAGTATTACATGCAGTTTTTAAAACTCACACCCATTTATCCAGTTCTGTCAAGCTAACAGTCAGTAAAATGAAAATGTAAAAATAAAAATCTGAAAACAATAAATTACTTAGAAAACAATCCTGCTCTCTTTACCTCACAAAGCACCCCTAAAAATTTATAAGTACAGGTAGAGTGTTCAGTGCTGTGCCAGTGGGAACCTATTTATTATATGATTTGCAATGGATTTCACAGCAAACGAACCCAACATACAAGTAGGAATGCTTGAATTTATGAGAAATTCTTTTCACTTTTTCAATACAAGACAAAAAAAGTCTTAGGACATTCTCTGAATAAGAACGAAGAATTTCAGGAAAGTCTGAAGAAAAGCTGTTAAACAGAAATTTTAAAAATAGTACTGAAGTAAAATTTATTCTTCATTTGGATTCTTCTTTTTTTTTCTTTTCAAGATTCCCAAGTTTGAAAACCACAGTATGTCAAAACTCAAGGATGTTTTCCAACTCCCAGTGTTTATGAAAGTGGAACAAAACCACACTGCATTACAGGGAGGCAGTCAACACAGTACATGATTTACAGTAAATAGAATGTGGAAAAATTATTATTGCAGAGACCAAAACCATTGTGAAATATTAACTGTTACAATTATGGTGTCCTCCAGAAGGAAGCTCCCAGGCAGCCATCAGGCCTAAAGCTCCCTGCTCCCTATGCTCCTAAGCATCCAAGCAACAGATACTGAGGAGCTCATGCTCATTATTCTTGCTTTAGATATGGGTTAAAAATTGCGGTTTGTAACGCTTTTACCTTCTGCAACCAGATTTGTCTATCTTGCATTGGCCTTTTTAGCCATCAGTGCGCTTGTAGCAAGTGTGGGTAGAGCCCTTCTCAAATCTTTGTTAGCGAAGCCTAGCCATGATGATGAGATTTCAGAGAGACACTGCTGGTGACACGGAAGGTACCTGGGACCCAACTGTTCCACATCCCCTTGTTCTTGCCCTGTCTATCTAAAAAAATCTCAATAAAGGATTCACTCTGGCTTTGCCCAGAGGAAAACATGGAGAGCTGCATACACACACGGGTTGCAAAGGTCACAAAGCTTCTCTCCCGCTGAAGAATCCCAAATGGGTCAAGTTGGAAGGGACCACAGCAGGTCATCTGATCCAACCTCGCTGCTCAAGCAGGGGCATCCTAGAGCACATAGCATAGGATTGCGTCCAGACGATTCTTAAGTATCTCCAGTGAGGGAGACTCCACAACCTCTCTGGGCAATCTGTTCTAGTGCTCGCACTGGAAAGCAAGCAAGAAACGTCAGGATTCAAAAGGAAAACATAACACTCCGTCTCGCTTTTTTTTTTTTTTTTTTTTTTTTTTTTTTAAATCAAATTCAGCGCCGACCTCCCTTGAGAGCCGGACTTGGCCAAAGTGGACCGATCCCTCCAGCCGCTTGGCTGCTGCTTAAGCCCAAGCAGCTCCGCCGCGCCATTCCCCAGCGACCCCTGGCCATGGACGCAGTTTGTCCCGTCCCCACAGCAGCTCCCAGCGCTGGCGGCCCCGCCTCGGCCCGGTCCCAGTGTCACTGCTGCACCTCTATGGGCCCGGTGACGCTGCGGGAACCGGCCCCGCTCCCCGCGCCGGGCGCGCCGGGCCCGCCAGGCCCGTCCCGGGTGCCACCTCCCTCCCAGCCCGCAGCCGCCGCTCTCCCCGCCCCCGGCCGTGTGTGCGGAAGCTGCCGGCGCCCGGCATTGTGGGAGAGGGGGGGCCACGGCGCGGGGAGGGGACGCGGCCGGGGACAGGCCGGAGGGTTCCGGTGCGGGGCGCGGACGTGTCAGCCGGGGCCGCGCAGCGACAGGCGCTGCTGCCCCTGCCCGCTCGGAACAGCGCCCGGCCTGGGGCCGGCCCGGCGGCGCCATGGCCGGGACCAGCAGCCCCGAAGCCGTGAAGAAGCTGCTGGAAAACATGCAGGGGGACCTGCGGGGCCTGAGCCTGGAGTGTCGGAAAAAATTCCCCCCAGTGAAGGAGGTGAGTAGCGCTGAACCGGGCCGAGCCGGACCGGGCCGGGCTGAGCCGGGCGGCAGGCGCCTCTCCAGAGGGGCCTCCCTTGGCCGCGGGGCCCGGCCCGAGCGGTGTTGTCGCCGTGCCCGTGTCCCGCTCCCCGGAACGGTGCCGCTCCCGGGAAGCTCCGACCGCCGCGGCCGCTGGCTGTGCCCGGACTCGGCTGTGCCCGGACTCGGCTGTGCCCGGACTCGGCTGTGCCCGGACTCGGCTGTGCCCGTCGCTGCGCTGCCGTGGCGGGGGCCGCGGGCCGGGCTGTGCCCCGCGGGGAGCGGGGCTGGCGGACAGACCGTCTGTTGACAGGGGCGACGCGGGGACGACTCTGCTGCACCGCCGGCACCCTTCGGGGGAAAGACGAAGTTCGGCTTGCCTGCTTCGGCACCACCGAGGGAGAAAAACTCACCCTAGGCGGGGTCGGCACCGGGGCTTGGGCGCCCGGGCGGGCGAGCACCGAGCAAGGGGGATCTCGACAGGCCGAGATGCTCAGCCCCGCGCTGGGGCCGCGCAGGTCTCCCCTCGGGTCTGTGCCGTCACTCTGCGGCGAACGCACTCGCTGCTGTGGCTCCCGGGTCGGCGCGCCTTATTCCTCACCATTTGTGTGCCCGTCTGACCTGTGCTGATCGCTGGTGATCGCTGCGTGCCGCGTCGTTTTGGGGTTGTCATTTGGGTTCCAACTCTGTGACTTGTATCAACAGAGGATATCTTGAGAGATACAGAAGTTTGGGTTACTTTTTTTTTCTTCCTTCTGCAAAATCCCATTTATAAACTCATGCCAGTAAGACTGTATGTTTTATTTTTCAAACCTCAGTTTATGCTGTGCAGCCTGAGACCTCAGTAATCTCGATGAGCCGGATTACTTTAACCGAGGGGCAATCAGATTTTTTTCTCACTGACTAAAGTATACATTTTAACCGTATCTTTCTATATGGTGTTAATGTGTTAATGGTAGTTTGGCACCGGTCGTTTAAAAAAAAAAAGGTTTTCTATGCAATAGTGGGAGTAAAAATACTAAAACATTAACTCAGATAAAACTACAGACCCAGAAGCTCAGAAGAAAGAAATTGCATATGGAATGTGACTTGAGTTCCAATTCAGTAATAGCACATTTAGTGTTGGATGTAGTAGCATACACTTTAACAGATGACTTGAAGCTAATGACTGTTCTTGTTTTGGAAGGCATGGAGTGACACACTATAATACAGCATATTATGTATGATTGTAGATTGCAGAGGAATGCTGGTGTGTTTGAGAAATTTTGTGTGGTCACAGAAAAACAGGAGAAAGTTGTGATCAGTCCTGAGGAAGTGTGTGTAGTCACATGTAAATAAGAAAAAGTTGTGGTCAGTTTAACAGAAATCTGCCTGTGTGTTTTTGAGGGACATGGGGTTGCCACTTCCACTTTTTTCTGTGTATTACTGTGTGGCTCTAAGTTGTTTAGTCTGTGAACAAGTTTCCCCACTGGGTTAATGTTTGCTTTCTTTTAAGATTTACAGAGGAGATGGGCAATGTCACCCTTAAGCTAGTATTTTTAGTAATGCTTCGTCACATTTGCCATGCTGACCGTTTAGTAACTACTGCATGTGCAGTTCTTGGTACTTGTTCAGCACATTTATCATATTCTTGTGTAAGCTGGACTGTTGTGTTATTTCCTTTTGTATCTTGATGGCAATTTGCATAGCTTTCTTCACGAAAAACAAAGTTTTTCACAGTTGTCTGGAATTTGGATAAGTTTAAGGAATAGTACTGGAAGGTGTTAACAAAAGAGGTGGGACTTTCTGTGGAATTGTGGGCTCTTACAGAGAGTCTGAGGTGAAAGCAGTCCTACAGTAGGATGTATGATACAGTCATAGGAAATTATCTTACTTCCTCACTTCTGGAAGCCATTTTTTGTTCTAGTTTTAAAGGAAATGAGTGTTCTTTTTTGTCAAATCTAAACTGCTAAACAGATATTTTAATTGCATGCATTTAGTCTGATCATGATTAGATTTAGCTAGAGTGATCAGCGGAATGGCATATTCTTATTAATTTGTAACCATTTTTTTAAACTATAATTAAACACAGGCTTTTTAAAACAGATTCCTACTACTTACAATCTTACTTTTTTACTTGCAGTATAACTAGACTCTCATCATCACTACCACATGCATTGTAATTTATAAGTTTATCTTGCAGTTGATGTCTATGTTTTCATGTCACTTAATAAATTTAACATGCTATGATAAAGCTATTGAAAAACTCATAGTCCAAAATGAATAGTTATTAGATGTATCATAATTGTTAGATTTGATAGGTACTTTATGAAGGTAAACTGCTTCTAATAATCTTTCCAGTGTGGGACATAGTTGAAAACTTTGCTTGGTTATTTGTTATCATCAGCCACTTCTAAAATTATTTGTCTGTTCTGGTTCTTTTTTTGTTTGTTTCTATATTAATAGTGTCAAAATTCTACAAACTGATAGGTTTTCTGCTCATAGAAGTAACAATGTAGTTCTCGATTCTGCTAGTTGCTCAAATGATTAACTTGAGCAAATCCTTTTTTAATCAGTATTGTAGAGTTTTAGTTGTATGATCAAAAAAAATAGAGACTTCGTATTATTAAAGAAGTTTTAGTTTTCAAACCACATTTCAAACTAATTTATTTTTTTCAACATAGTGTATATGTAAGTAAAGTATCTGTTAGGTACAGAGAGATCAAAACAATATTGAATGATTCTTTGAACAGACATGTAGATGACACAGGTAAAGTACTTCATGGGACTTTTTTCGGTGGGAGACAGTGAGAGCGGGACTTGGATGCAGCAGAGAAGGAGACAGCCAACTTTGAAATCTAGATCTTATTCTTAATGGAACTTGAACTCTTCACTGTTTTAAGTACTTTTATCTCATATTTTTCTATTACTTCTGAGTCTGTAAAGTTTTCTTAGTAGGTTACATTTATGTGGGTATGTAGTTCTAAGTCCAGTTACTTACAGTAATGGAGTCTGACTTTGCTGACTTTGATGATCTGTTAAGAAACATTGAAATTACTGAGTTTCTCCCAATGTTAAACTTCTGACACAAATATGTGGCAAACTTCCTTCCCCTTAGAGCTTTTACCTAAGAAATAACAGGATGTATTGTTGGCTCCATAGCATCCATACCTCGTTTTTGCTATGTGACAAATAATACCTGAGTAGTATTTTCCTAGGTTATGCCACTTAATGTTCTAAGAATGGGAGCTGCAGAAAGAATCTGTGTGTTTGAAATTATGTTGCTGCTGATGTTTGAGGATTAACTAACACAACATTCTTATGGGAATGGGAAATACCAGTTACTATTGCACTGCAGGCACATCTGTTTGTTATTAGGTGGTTTTTCTTTTTGATGCTTCCTCATATCAGCACCAACTACAGAAGTATACTAGGCATGAAAGCTATACACTATGACCAAGAAGTGATTTGGTGGTTGTATCTGTGATATGCTAAGCCTGTTTACACTGGCAGACATTCAAATAATGACATTGCTGACAAATGTGTTTGTATTTTCACAATGTGTTTCTGTTACCCAATTAGAAAAATAGGCACCATGGATGGGACAGAAACTCTCAGGGCAAGTGTAAATTAAGCAGTATCTTTTGGAGCTTGAAATTGGAGAGGATGAAACAGTCTTTCGTACAGGCATCAGTCGTGTTCATGTTATTTTAAGTAATCTGGCATTCCTCCTAGAAAACAATACTACTTCGTTGTTATTCTGTTGTTTTTAATAC